ACAGGTAGTTTGCACAGCAGAGTAAAGGAACATCCTACACCCCCTTACTCTCCTGCCTGGATGTAAAGGACAGGTCACAATTTGGTCCTGTACAAGTACTCAAATTCAGCAGAATGCCCATAAATCTCTCCATTGTCTTGGTCTTGGGCCTCACAGCCCCAAGATCCCTAATTTATCTGAACAAATGTCTCTCAATTTTTTGTATTAAGTTAGCAACTATGTGCAGAGTCCAGCACAAACAGCTGGAAGGCACTTCTATAGCAGAGGCCTGGTGGCATATAGAAGTTGCTTCTCCACCTTTTTCTATAAATGGAGTCTGTTTAGTTTGGGGTGCCCCAAAGAGTTATCTTGCTATTCCTCCTCAAAATCCTCACTCACCGATCCTCTGCAAAGTGGTATGATCATGGTGGATGGGAGCCAGTTATGAATGGGGGAGGGTGAATATTTGCTTTTCAGGCTTACTCAGAAGTGCTAAAGCTGGCTTTGCTCAGAGGTCTTCTGCTCTGTAGTGAAAATGTCTAATACATACAGAGTCTCCATGGAGACACTTGTACAAGTGGCTAGGTGATGTACTCATTTAAACAAGATATGGGCCAGGGTGTAATCTCAGGTACATCAATGTAAATCCAGGGTAAAGCAGCTGAAGTGAATGGATTTACTCTGCAGTAGATGTGACCTGAATTTGGCCCACAAACTCGACACATTAACTATTTGGAGGGAATGAATGTGTTTTTCCCATAATATGAATTCTTTTATTCTAGACATCATTTTAGTCTGATTTCTTTAATACTGTTTTTAAAAGATATCATAGGCCAGAGCCTATTTAAAGCTGCATAGTTCCATTAACTTCAGTTGAGCTATGCCAACTTATATCAGCTGAGAATGTGACCCAATGATTCACAAAAGGATTTTTTTAGTGTGCATACTAAAGGTGGTATTTTTGTACCAAAGACAAATATATACTTTTAATTAAAATACACATTCTTATAGGTTTGAACAAAAGGAACAATAGCAAACTAGAACTTGAACAAAAGGGATCACTCCAGATAAGTGTCACAAACATAACTGCATCGTCTGTTTTACCAGCACTACACCAGAGGAAAAAAATGAGCATAGTGAATGGACTAAAAGTGTAATTCTTCGTTCTCTTTGCTGCAGCAAAGGATGAATTACAAAAGGTACAAGACCATGGAACAATATAATTACTTCCTTTATGACTACATTCAGTTCTGATTATGTACATGTATTTTTTCAAAGTCCTCTACCCTTTTAAACTACAGCACTGTTGTTTTTTTCTATAGTTGCTAATAAGAAAACCTTTAGCTCAAAATTGATGTGAGCAAGGGGTGTCTTTGTGTCTGAGCACTTCCTGTTTTCATTCCATGATCAAATATGTTCTTTGCAGGGCAAATAGGGGAGCACTTGAGGGAGGAAAGCGAGATGTCTGAGAGGCTAATTGAGTGTACTAAGGGCTCCTAGGCATGGAGGAAAAGGAGTTTTCCAAGGCTATGAATAAACTCTCGGCTTGGGTCAGATTCTTGCTGTTTCTTTTCTTTAACTATCTTTGAAGTCAAATAAAAACAGCCTTAATGTCAGGTTTACCTTTCTGATATCATAATCTTTATGTACTATTGAAAAGCTTATACTACCACACTAGGATTTCCTTTACTTTCTCAAACACTGGACATTATCCAGAAAAAGCATACACATTTCCAACCAATTTATCCTCAGATCTTTTCATCTTCCTGGCCCGTTGTAATTCCAAATGTAAGACAGATCCCAATAACTGCACAGGGAAATGACAGAAATTTCTATTCCTTGCATTTTATTTCCATCAACAAAAACATGCGTGTGTTTCTTATTTCTAATATAATTAAAGTTACTGCAAAGTGGAAAAGGTGATAAGGGATGAAGACAATTTTGAAAGCCAGAGTCTGTGGGATACATTAATTCTACACAAGAGTTCAAGCACCTGTCTCTTTTCAAAAAGTCACTCAAGCTTATATAAAGAAGCTACTCAATTTTTAAATTAGGTTATCTTAGGGGATTGTAAAATAACTGAATATTTCATAAAGAAAAAAGGTAGCATTTTCTTTAAAGAAAGGTAATAAATGAATACAGTTAGTTAGAACTGAATTACTCTCCCGCTAAATTTGACAGTCTAAAGGAATCTGTGAGCTTAGTCAATGCTGTAAGAGATAGACTGGAGTTGCTTCTTCTTCCAGGAAAACCAGAGGTTAATGATTTTTGTCATATTGAGACTAACAGCTAACAATTGCTACAGTTGGCCTTTAGTTTTTTATTTGTCCTTTTGAGGTATTCAGACTAGGTGACAATGGCTTGCAGTTGAGAACATATGTAGAGAGACCCCTGTGGTTTATGGAAAAAGTTGCTCCATGCTGGTTGGGTGTTTGAAAAAAAAAAAATACAACCAGAGTTCTTTTATGTTCCTTTCCTTAATGAATGCATGAATGTCAAAATGCACCAATGGCCCATTCAAGGGGCAAAGCCTAAGCAGCCCCTTCTTTAAGAACACATCCTGAGATGTAAAATACATTTGCTTAACAAATTAAAATAATGAGATAATTCAATTAGTTTCTTTAAAAAAAAAAAGAAAGAAAAAAGGGTACATCAGGGGATTATTGTAATACAAGAACAGGTCATACAGCACAAAAGAGGGACAAACCAATTTGAAATAAGGTTAGAGTAGTAATGAAGGAATGTATATTGAATCATGGACTCCTTTTGTAAAGAAATTTACTTGAAACAATAATTTATACATCATAGATTCCCTTTGCAATAGAGCTGGCATTGCACTTTGAATGGACAAGCTAATCTGAGAAAAAGTGAAGGATATTTAGAAGAAAGACTTCTCTTCCTTCGCTGCATGCATTTATGGCAAAAATCTTTCTGAATTTACATTGCACTAGTCAGGGGTCTCCATTATCAGTTCTCAGGTCTGAGAATTACAGCACAGTAAATCTTTCAGCACATGCAAACTCATTAAAGCCTGGAAGGTAAAAGGTTTTTTGTTTTTGGGTGGGTTTTTTTTTCAGGAACATCCTCATCAAAGCTGCTGAACTTCCTCAATTCATCTGGGGCGAAGGAGTTGGCGGAGAATGGAGGGGGTGGATTTCCAAAAGGCAAAACCGTGAGGCTTTTTCTCAAGATAAGCGAGAGATAGCTGATTGTTTAGTAAGCATGTGTTGAATGCTTTCAATGCACACACAAGAAAGAAAGGAAGCAGGGGTAAAAAAATAAGAAATTGCAAACTTTGGTAAGAGTTAAGGAAATGAACATGCAAGCTTGTGTGAAAGAAAATGGATTATTTGTGGCCTGTGGTTTTAGCTGTTTCCCCTTGCTGTTCCTGTAGCCATACTCTCCAGCTAAAAATGAAACCCCCTCCCTTCACACTCACTCGAATTCCAAATTAAAAACATTTTACAGGTTAGTAAATCTCCAGCTGAGGTGATGTAGCAAAGAACAGCTGTGAAGTAATTTTGATAATGATGAGAATAATAAGCACATGGCAAGGTTCAGGGCTTTGCTGTTGCAGCTTCAGTGCTCCTGAATAGATAAAAGTGATTAAATACTCCTGATTATCCCTGACCAATATGTAATGGATTTACAGCCCTTTCAATTAGTCAGTATTTGCTTAGGACTCATTATTTTGTCTTTGGTTAAGTAATCAGCCCAGAGACTCATGTTCTGTCTAATTCCTCTGAGCCAAGTGGGTACAGGGCACCTGACCTTTGAAATGGCCATAGCTGGAAGGCAAGAATAACCACTACTCCAGCAGAGACACTGGCTATTCTAGCTAATCCTGACCCCACAGGCCAGATCAATGCACCTTAGTTTGCTACTAATGTCCTTACATCAAAATGATGGTTTAGAAATGTGGATCTATTCCACACACACACCCCTGATCCCCATTAGCTGTTCTACCAGCAGAGCAGTTCAATAGTCACTACCATAAATAAAAGGGGTACCTTGTCCTGGAATCAAGACACTGTAACTAATGTCAGCCACTATGGAAATGTATAACTTTGGTAGTCACAAAGAATCCCTTATGTGAGGTAGTTAATCGTGCTATTATCTTTTTAACCATTAGGCCAAACAGAATAGTTGGAAACAATTTTATAGGAAGGGGTGAAAAAAATCAATAATAATCATCATCAGTGATAATTTTACCATTTTCTAGCATTTCCATCTGAATAGTAAACTATAGGAGAGTTACCAGTTCTTCTGTAAAAATGTATTTTGATGTTTAAGTGAAGCTGTAATAGTCAACAGAACACCAACACATAAAACCAGTTGCAAACAGGAGGATAAAGATAGATTGTTACCAAAAGTGTTGCTTTTTCACATAATTAATCTCTTCCCCCCAGAAGAGAATAGGGCTAGCTTTTAAGATATTGGACTTGAAGAACAGCTAAAAAGGTGTTTTAATCTGTGTTTTACAGAACTGAGGAATGTAAACTAACACATGACAAGTTTGCAAGCTGCTTCATGACTTCGCTAGCATCCTGCAATGTTTGTTGGAATACCCGCATTGGGGAGTATTACGGTACTTTCCTTCTAATACATATGAGGTTTGTTGTAAACAGAGGCCAACAATAACCCAATCCAGAGGGTAGAGTTACTCAACTCCCTTATTAGTGTCCTCATATATATACTATATTCTAAATGTAGAAACCCCTTTTCATCTTAAGAACATTTTGAACAGTTCTCTTTACTGGAATGCAAACGAAAAATGGCTGCCTTCTACCCTAGTGTTGTTTCATGCTAACATCTTATGATGTATATTCAACTTGTCATGATTCCAAGACTGAAATAAATAAATAAATACGCTTCTAGAAAAAATAAAAGTGATCATTGATCCCTACTGTCTTCCAAAAAATTATGGGGACAATTGATTTCTAATAATAATGAATAAACCTCATCAGGCATGTGAACAAAAATCTATTTTTTATGTTTTTATTATTTTGGTCTCCACTTACTGTGAGATGCTGGAAGAGCCACGCTCTCATGATATTTGTTGCTACTTTGGGGAAAATGCCTCTTTTCTTCTGACGCTTTTTGTCCTTATCTGGATCATCATCGTCCCCTGTACCAGGTGAGGCTACGCTGTTGTCTAAACCATCCCCTAAAAGAAAGAACAAAATAAGTGGAAGGAGACATAATAAACAAAAAATATAAACTAAAAGGTATCGTTAATTATTGGGAAACTAATGCAGCCTTATTTTGATTTGATAGAACATCAGGCACATGCGTTTTCTCATTAAATATGATTGCTGATACAAATATGTAAAAATTAGAAACCATGTCTCTCCAAATACTAATTTTGTGTCTCACACATGCACATATCATTAATTCAATTATAATTGTGTGCTTGACATAGTGCAATAGCTCTTTGTCAATTACAGGATTCAATGTGGGAAAACCTGCCACAAGAAAACCCATTCACTGTAAATGCATGCCTACAACCCTACTGAATACATACTGCATGTATTCAACTTAGATGTTCTGTAGTCTATATATTCTAGGCCTTCTGCATAGGTGACAGTAACTGTGTCACTGTTCAGTGCCATAACACACTGTCAGATCAGCCCCCTCCCATAACTATCACCTTCCTACACACACACACCGTATATGATCCTGCACATAGCATTTGCATGACATGAAAACTTCTACATCTCTGCATCAGTGATCATTATCATTAAAAAAAAATGCACATCAAGGTAGGGTGCTCACTTAATCAGAACTTTCCATCAACATCTTTCTCTTCTGTGCTTTTCCCTGGCATTAATTGTGCATTAGCAAAAATCATTTACTTTTAACAGTCATAGTTATTTTTTCTTGCCCTCCAGCAAAAATGCCTTGAAAGCCTGCCTGGAGGGCATCTAAATTATGTATCTGAAAAACTCTTCTGGCAAGGCATTGCAGGACCCCTACTTTCTTAAAATTCATACGAGCACGTCTTCCTGTTTTTGGGAAGGCATCAATCAAGAGCAGCAATATATGCCATATTCCTACATTAATATTTGAACTAATAACTTTTAAAAAAGGAAAGAAACAAGATCCGACTTGTGGCATAATCAAATGCAAAATAAATGAAGAATACTGGGACAGCACTGAGACTTTATAGATTGCTATGTTTTCCTTACACATCATTAGCCTGGAGCCACACGAAAGAGGAAAACAGAGAAGTGGAGAGTTTATGCTCCCTGCTGGTGTTTAAGAAGCCGAGGTCCTGGAAGGACATCTGGGAATTGCGCTGAGACGGTGGTTTTTGTAATTTAAGAATAGACATTCATTAGCAGTAAATGCCATAAATCCCATGCTAAGTAAAAACCTTGTCCAAGAAAGCCTAAAACAATAAACTCTGTGCTCAATGTAGCCTGAGCTAGACGCTCCATAGCTTCCTGAGGAATGCTATAGATCCACGAGCTAATTCCTATAGCCTCTTCTAGCTCTTTAGTGCTACTAAAACAAATACATTACTGCTACATATAGACCATTTACTTCCAAACTTTTATTTCAGCTTCATCTATTTCCCCTGTGTCCACTCACCCTTCTTCCACCACCTCCCCTTGCAAAAAAAAACCCACACAACCCTCCTGGACCGAGAAATGGAAAAGCCACAGCAAAGAGCTGGCAGATTAATTTTATTGACATTTCCATTTTCACTGCAATGTGATACCCTCCATCACATGGAAGAGATGACCCTCACTATTTACAGACTGACAGGCCACTTCATTACAACCACCCTGCCCCAAGGCAGAGCAGCTCCCTTCCATCTGCCCAAACACCAGAGCAAGACCCCGAAGTCGCTGCTCTCTTTTTTGTTGGCTTCTGTTAATGATAAATAAAGGTGAGTCAAATGGGTGCAAAAATAATCAAAAGAAATGATGCCTGGTCCTATACAGTGTCACAAACCAATTACTTTTGAGAAAGGTTGGTTATTCAGAATGAACTCCTTCCTACCAGGCTGTCCCCATGTTTCCCACCCCTACCCATACCCCTCGTGTGCGTGTACGTACACACACACACACACCCTTTCCACTATGCCAAGGAACTGCTGCAAGGCAAATTCTCACAAACACTAATGCCTTCTGACTGCTCCTTGGCAACCCCAGCATTTTAACCTGGGTGGATGTGCTCTCCAAAATACAGACACTGGAGCTATCTCATCAGCTGTTCATGTGACACAGATGGAGAGTGGCTATTAGGAGCCAGGCAATGGGCCTTGGGGATCTGAGGTGCTGTACTGTAGCCTCAGGCAGTTTTGAAAAGCAGTACCCGGAGAGGGGGGGGGGGGGGGGGGGGGGGGGGGCGGAACAGCCATACTGAAAGTGCAAGTTTGAAGTCAGTCAGTCTGTTTTTCTGTCTATCGTCTAGATAAAGATATCTTTGTCTTCTTATGTAAAATCTAGGTGTGTATGCATATACTGCATGTAGATATAAAATCTTCTTTCCTTCAGTCTCTCTGTCCCTTTCTTAGTACAGAGACATATACACATATATAAATGATCCCTATGCCTCTGTAGACGTGTGTGTGTGTGTGTGTGTGTGTGTGTGTGTGTGTGTGTGTGTGTG